TTGCCATTATCGATGGTTATCGCTGTATATTATATTGTATGGTATTCTTTATTATTTATAAATTTCAAAGCACTATTTTATATTAAAAAAATACATGAAATAATAAAATTTGTTTTTAAACTTTTTCGGTGGAAATGGATATAGAACTTTTTAAATGGATATCACCCTTTTTAAATACCTACAATGGTACTCCTATAAATTAATCACTATCCGATATAAAAGCCGAAAACACTAGCATTTCCTAATCTGCAGAAACCTCGAACAATAGGTTATTGTTTGCTTATTATTTTGGATGGGATTTTCATGCACTCAGCATTGTTTTGCGAAGCTACGCGATGCACGTTTTATAATTTATAACATATTATACATTTTACGTATGTATTTTTAAATAACAGTAATAAGTTTTATTTTAATTTTTAAGGAAGTTTTTTTAATTTTTTTGAACATTTTAGTGTTTTGATTAATGGACCATTAATGGAATCTCATACCAAAATCTGTTTTTTTTTTTCGTATTAAAAATGTTAATTTTTGGACATAAAACGAATTTTTATTACATATTTAAATTCCTAGCTCTACTTATAATTTATCGTTATCAGCAGATTTTTTCAATAGGTAACCTATTTTTCCTGAATTTTAGATAAAAGTTTTATAAGTGGGTCATTGAAAATGCTGATTTGTCTGATTTTGAAACGTGAAATGAGTCCACAACAGCTATTTTATATAACTCTCGGTAATGCTTAGTGTTGTCTTAAAACATTGGTTGAAGAGTTAAGTCTATGTCTTTTTTTTTATTTTATTAGCTACTAGTATAAAACTATTATAACTCAACAAAGCTAAGCTTATTGAGTAAAACAGGTGGATTCGACCATCAATGAGCTTTGACCAAAATGATAGATTTGATTGAACTTGACAATTAGCCAGAGTGGCAAAGTAATGGATTATAGACACGAGGTGGACAATCAATTGATAACCTGAAAGGTGCACATTTCAGAAACTTGCGTTAGACTCTTTCGAGTTGGTCACTCGTGGTTGTTGGGCACCAAAATACAGCTCCATACTCAAGTATAGAACAAAAAAAAAACTTTTAAGGCACTATAGACAGCTTGAAGTCCATACAAATTCTGAGCAAGAACCCTAGCATTTGTATGGGTTTATTATGATGATTAACGAATATTACCCCTATTAGAGACAGTGCATCGTGCGTAAGATCGCTTTCGCCTCCGTATTCGTCTTCTGGCATGTATTCGGCAAAATTATCTTCATTCTCGACGTCAGAATAATTTCCTCTATTCATGTTAATTTATTTCTTTAAAAAAATACTATATTTTATCCAACTGAACACTTTCAACAGCTCTCTATAGAACTACTATTATACACACAATACAATATTATGATGTGCAAATAATGAGATTCTACGGCATGATTTTGAACTATATAAATATAGAGTTTTGCTAGGTAACTGCTGTATTATTATACTATATACTTATATCATATTTTATATTATATTAGACTGATCGCATATACACAAGTGTGCAACGCCGCAGGGCGGGATGACTATAATATAATATAATTGAACTTGTCTGCGACCCACTGCAGACTGATCAACTTAGAGTCTAACCAGGGCTTGAAACCGGTAACCGATTTTTCCCGGTAACCGGTTACCATGAGTACTTTTTGGACTGGTATCCGCTTCCCGGTTCTCGAGTTTCAATTTTCAGAAGCGGTTATCAATTACCGGTAATCACGGAATTTGATAAAGGGGGAAATCTATAACGGTAACCGTTTATTTTTAGAACCGGTTAATTAATCGGAAGTATACAAAACCGTAAATCTCAAACCAATTAACTTAAAAATAATTTTTTTTAAATTATATTGAATATTCTAAATAGAAGAAAATAATATTTATAAAATACTAAAATAGATTATTTTAGAACTACTAAGTATTAAAATTTAAAAATACCAAAATAAGCGTGTTTGATTGCGGAATCGTATCGGCGCACTAACAAAAGATTCTCAGTAGTCAGTACCTATGATATAGGTACTGAATACTGATACGAATGGTAGAAACATCGACGAATGCGGGCTGATACATATATTATATATAATAGTATATAACTCTTGCATGAACGATATTGTACCAAGTACTACATAGGTAATAGGTAGGTTATATAACTTATAATCAGGGACTGTTTTGATATTCATTATTTAATAATAAGTTCGTTACATTAGTTCGTAATAATAGTAATACTGAACAAAACTGTGTAGGTAGTACTATACTAAACATGTTAAGTTTGATGAAAAAAAATAGAGTAGGTATTAAAACAAATAAAAAAAAAAAACGGTTTTGTGAGGTAACCGGTAATTTTGAAGATTTAAAACCGCTTCCAAATAGATAACCGGTAATCCCATTTATAAAATTTATTTCGGTAAGCGGGAAATGATTATCATTATTTCTAAAAACCTCGATAACCGGTAACCGGTTCCAAAAAATTTTCCGGGTCCTATCGGACCCGGTAACCTATTTCTTCAGGAGCGGTTTCAAGCCCTGAGTCTAACTAATGATAGCTATTGAGGCTTGCAATTTTCAAGGTACCTATACCTATTATAATATTATATTAATCTCATAAGACTTAGATATTTTTCGGTAAGATATTATAGACGGGAATGGAGAAGTAGTGTATATACACAAATATGTTACATTAGGGCGAAGTTCCGGGTAATTCAGCAAGTTATAATAGTTATATTATAAACGTTTGTGTTAACGAAAGTGTCATAAAATCGATCTTTCTTTCTGCATGATTCATGATGTATGTGCAGCGTCTGTTCAAATCGCTTAATACAATATTTAAAATGTAATACAATAAATAGTATGATGTCAGTGGGTGGGCGTCAGCGGCGGGTCCAGGGGGGGGGGGGGCAATGAGGCTTTCCCCAAAATCACCGTATCTTCCCTATGTTTTAGCCAATTTTAGTACTTTTCGTACTTTTGAGATGTACCTATTGATGTATTATATGCATTTTTTGTAAATATTATTTATTAAATACATATTTAGGTACCTTTACCCTATATTTTAAGGGTGGGTATTTTAATCGTGTACCTATATAATATTATGTGTAGGAAATTGGTACGTTCGGTTTAGGGCAACTGGTATATTATTTTAACAGCCACTGGGGGCAATTTATAATAAATACAATTATCTCACAACATTCTGCACTAGGATAATAAATCATGTCCATGATACAGTGCAAACTTCACGATACGATTTTTTGACTATATGACATGTGCGCCATAAATGCAAAAATGACATATTACTTGTGCCAAAGTTAATATTTTATATAAATAGTTATTTAAAAATGTCGATCTTATAAAAAAATTGTTAAAATATAATATTATATAGTTTTATATTTAATATACGTTATTTAATATCTATTAACCACGGCACAGGTATCTAGGATTTTGGCACTTTCGAATGATACAACTTTTGTCTTTCTTATCTCATTTTGCCTTCTAATGATTTTTTTTCAGATTGGTTTGAGCGAACAAATTTCTAGTATGGCACTCTACGTTTTATACTCTTCTCGACCCCCCCCCCCCCATCATCATTGCCAGCTGTAAAGTTACAATGTTCGATGTTAAGATCGAAACAGTCGGATGGTAGTTTTTCTGAACCAGTGACTTCGCTGTATAATATCATTCGTCAGTAATAACGTTTATAATATAATATAATAATTTTTTTTTTTTATTGATCTTCTTAAGTCCGGCAACTAAGGCCATTAGCTTGTTTGTAGGGTTATGTAGTGTGGTAGTGGTAGGGGTTGGAACTGTAGGTTTTCGTGTGCGTTTGTTTGGCAGGATTTCGATTGAGCACCAATAGGTTTTTGCCATGCCCGATCAGGGGATGGCGACCTTTCTCTCCAGACAAATGTCTGCCCGGATATAAGTGCCGCTGTGACCGAGATTCGAACCGGCAACGGTGCTCGTCACTACAGACGCCTTAGTCCGCTCGGCCACTCCGTCCAACTATAATATTACTATATTGAGTATAAACGTACAATAATGATAACAAATAAAACGATACATTTCTTAATTCATTATTTATACGATTTTCTTATAGGCTATAATTTATTAGTAACTACTAACTACTATAGTCTATAGCTATATTTATAGTGTTTTTTTATGTGGAGACGCAGTTTAAAATAGTCTCCTGACTGACCACCACAGTAGGTGTCATGAATGTTGCCTAGATTGAAAGCCTATGCAGTGATAGGTTTGTAAATTAAATAGTCAGCATGTAAGTGACAATAATAATATATAGGTAGAGACAAAACTGGCGAAAGTCAAAATGTATCAAAACATGCGAAAAAATCAAACCGGAATAATATCAAGAAGTAAACAAACCATGCGTTCACGTTTAACATCTATAAGACATAACATTTTTGTTCCCATTGTAAATAATAAAGATTGACAATTGTTTATGAATTAAAAATTGTATGATGCCCGTCTTCTATTAAAAAAAATGTTTAAACTGTTTTTTTTTTTAAAGCTGGTTCGAATCCTAAGAATAGTACCATTGTCCTTGAAATAGTATTTATATAATGTTGTACGTTATTACACCTCAGCAGATGTAACTGTAGCTCAGAGTTTGATCGTAATAATAATAATATAATAAATCGTGTTACCCAAATGTTGGTAAACAATTATACAGAAAATAAATTCAAAAATCAAATTGAAATAGTGTATTAATAAGATACTACGACAATTAATTGTGTAGTACCACTAGTACCTATTATAAAAGAATTGTGCATAATTTTAATAATATTATGGTAAAGAAAAGAATGTGTGTTTAAAAAAAATTATAAAAAAAAGGATTTTCAACTACACGGGACTAAACCAACTTATGATAGTTGGGATTGCTCAGCCAGAGCGGTGAAAGGCATGGTGCCTGGATTTGATGTGCAAATGTTGACAATATTGATTGCTTAGCTATGTTATTGATAACCTAACAACAGCAAGCAGGGACCTTAGCGAGAACTGGTGGCAGGTTACATGGGCCGGGTGGTGGGTAACACGGTGCTGGACATCCGTACGGCGACGGAATCATATACAATTGTGGTAAACCAACTGGTGACTGATAAACGATATCAGGTTTTTGAACGTACAGACCGGGGTTGAAGAATACTTTTGGTAATGGCGCTGGTGGCAAAACGATCGGTGCAGTCGGCAATGGGGCTGGCAATGCGAAGAATATTTTGTTTGACTGTGGAGCTGGTGCGCACGTGATAGATTGTTCCTTAACTACATTTCCGTCGTTAATGACGATAGGTCCGGGTGCCGCACCTGGAAGTATGATTGGGGCGGGTGCTGGACATTGGTTCAGCTTGACGAGGAGATTAGGGGCTGGACCGGCAGGAACGACGATCGGTGCGCACTTTCCGGCTACTGACGGCAATTGGACTATCAATGGTCCTGGTGCTGGTCCTGGAGCGATGACTTGAGGTGCCGGTGCGGGAACCGACAGGGTAGCACCAAAGGTTGGGGTGGGCCCACAGGCTGGTCTACAGGGAGGTGCACCGCAAGCGAGTGGGGCAAGACGCGAGTAAGGTGCCGATACTTTAAGGGAAGCTAATAAGGAGGCTAGTGTCGCAGGACTAATAGGTGGAGCTGGTATGCACGCTGGTGAACACGGTGGGGCTACACAACATGGTGGAGCTGGGCAACATGGTGGGGCTGGACAACATGGTGGGGATGGACAACATGGTGCGGCTGGGCAACATGGTGCGGCTGGGCAACATGGTGGTGCTGGACAACATGGTGGGGCTGGGCAACATGGTGGAGCTGGACAACATGGTGGAGCTGGGCAACATGGTGGTGCTGGACAACATGGTGGAGCTGGGCAACATGGTGGTGCTGGACAACATGGTGGAGCTGGGCAACATGGTGGTGCTGGACAACATGGTGGGGCTGGACAACATGGTGGGGCTGGAAGACATGCAGGGGCGGGAAGACATGCAAGGGCTGGAAGACATGCAGGGGGCGGATAAGAACATGCAGGTGGTGGTGATGGGTAACAAGATTGCCCTAGTCCATAGCAAGATGGTGGAAATCCATTACAACATGTTGCTTGGACCTTTTTAATAAAAAAAAATGTTTAATTCGTCCGTTTGGTACATGATAGTTTATTATTATTCCTTACCGTAGTAATGTAAGCCACCACTAAAGCTGTTACGATTCCAAAATTATTCATTTTTGTGAAATATTCTCATATGGATACAAGATAAAATAAAGCATTGCGATTGTTTGTGTTTTATACTCAATCAATTCGTATTTTGTTTTCGAAATATTCACGTTTTTCTAATCTGATTACGGAAATACGAGCAAACACGTGTTTGTTTAATATAAAAAACTGTTGTACATTTGGCTAGTGATAAATTTTTAAAAAAATAGGTAATCATTGAGTTAATCTATTAAAAGTGAATAAAGCAATTTTCGTAGTAATGTGTATGATTACTTACCTATAAGTGTTAAGTTATTGTGTGTGACAACCGTTTGTCCACATATTACAGATATTATAGTATTCGTAGTTGTTCGTAATCATATCAAAATTGAATTATTTATTTAATAATACAAATAAAAAGATTACAAGTACGTGTGAAATCAAAGCATAACATATTTTGGAAAAATCTATAATTGATTAGTTTTATAGGAACATATATATTTATTATGACGTTTTGTATTATGTTAAAAATGATCATATTAATAAAAAACAAATGCGTGAAACAAAAAGGTGGTTAGGACAAAATTAACCCTAACATTCATAATAATATTTAAAAAAATGTAATTTACATTTCAAACCAAGGTTTGAATTTAAAGCCAATCATTATCAACTTTTACCTGCACAAACTTACATTTTTCGATTTTTGAGGCAAAATAGTTGACAACCAATAAGATAATTTCCGTGATAAAGATAGTTTCAATTCATTTTAACACTTTCAGATATACTTATCAATGTGAATTCGTTTTTTTAATAATTGTATCTTATTTTTAAATAAACCAAAACACAATTATATATGCAATTTTGGTTTTGAAAAACAATAAACTATAAAGTACTCTGTACTCGTATATAGTAAGTAATCAGAGTAATCGTATTTGATGCACTTGTTATTCAGTGTTGTAACTTGTATAGTATTATTATTCGGTACTATATTTTCGAGAAAGTTGAATACCACTATTGTTAATATTAATGAGAGAATCATTTTCAAAATATGTTGAACATAGTATTTTATACATTTATTTTTTAGAAATAATATAATAACAAAACGAAGGGAAATTCTAAGTCTCCATTATTAAAGCTAATTAAAGAAACCTCAACAAAAATCACCGTTTAAAACTTTATTATTTTTAGAGTTTTAGCTAAAAGGTGAATATTTTGATTTTACATTGATGTTTTTTAATTTACATTATCATGACATGTCTGTCTGTCTTCAACTTTTGTTTTTTTTTTTTTGGTGTATTCAAAATGCTTCAATCTTGAACTTTGTGAGTGGTTTCTGGTAGTAATTTTAATCTAGTTGTTTCTTGGACGGGAAAGGGGAATAATACAAATTTAATCGAGACTATTCAACAAAATATCGAGAAATCAAAAATAAAATTATGGAAAACTGGAATCTTTACTCAAAACCAGTTACGAAATCGATTTCTTTTTTAAGAGTATAATACTCTTCACTAAATATTTATATCAGCATTTTTTAGACATTAATATAATTTTAAAAGTATTGAGGCTAATTTTAAGCTATTGAGGCATTTGAAATATCCGAATTGAATTAGTGTTTTTCGATGAAAGTTGATGAAATATGTTAAAATTGGTCAAAAAGTTGAACATTTATATTATGTATAAGTAACTCTATGTACACTCTAGTGCCCTCGGGCGTAAATAAATAAATAGAAATTCTAAGATAAAATTGTTCACAAAATTGGATATTTATACAAAAAATAACAATCTTCTATATATGTATATAAATGTGAAAATGAAAACCTTTGAGGCATATGTCGGAAACTACTGAACCGATCGTTATGATTTTTTTTTTTAATTGAAGATCTCATTGCTGAAAAAGTTTATAGCATTTGATCGATTCTCTAACTTAATAAACAAAGGAGTTATCAATTATTATAAATATTGGCCTTTTACGTTGCAATTACGTATATACGGCGGCCCGTGGGTTTCCATCTACCTGAAACCTATTTTTTTTGTCCTAAGGTCAACGATAAGAATTGTTTTGAGAAGTTTATCGATAAAAATAATCTCATGCATGGCGAGTACACCAATACTCCAATTATATTTTAAACGATAAAATGCACACCGATAACATCACCTTTCACAAAGCTAGGTACAATTATCCAGTTAAATAAAAATAATTCATTCCATTAAAATGTAAAAATAAAAAATAAATCCATAAAAATAAATAATATAACCCCCCAAAATATATTAATATATAAATATTAAATACTCCTAAAAATTCGGGATGATCAACTATGACTTCAATACTATTTTAGGTACACTGTATAGAAATTTTTTTTCAACTACAAAGCTGTACTAATAAGTTGGCCTACCTATATTTTATCTCCCTCCTCAATGTGTCCAAAATCTATCGAGGTGGATTGCCTACCTGATAATATACTGTTCGCATTACCATATGAGAAACTCATGCGGGATGGTTAAAAATTAAAATTTAATATGATTTTGCTTCCATACCATAGCGAATTACACCCGAAAGGAGTTAATTAATCACAATTTTTTTCCGGGGCAACTCCGGATTATTCAGCTATACAATATATAAATGAATATTTGTCAGTAGATTAGACCTCTGGGAAGAGATTGGCTAATTTAAAAAGATTTAAAACTGTTTTTTTTAATAATCGGATTTTAGTACGGTTAGTTTAGGATTTTCTATTAATTGATTATATTCATACACCGTAGGTGGAATTAAGTAATAATGACAAAGTTGGTATAACTTTGATACTTTAGAGTTAAATCATACACTTACGTACAGACAGCGCGGGGTCCGCGATATCATATACTGCTGCGAAACAGAATTTTTATTTCGGGCAACGGAAAAGTTAAGATAAATGTTGAACACCATACACCGAATACTATAGAGTTGGTACTTTAACGGGCAACGAAGTGCGCGTTATCAGCTAGTTATGTTATAAATCAAAAATATAATTCTTAAGGACTTTCAACATTTCACCAGTATGTGTAACGTTATACATATATTATGCACAGTAACATTTAAAAAAATATTTAGATTTATTTTAAGCTATTTATACCTCGAACCTATTCACATAGGTAGAGGCATTGACTAGTTAATTTTCTAATCAACTTGACTAGTTTAATTGACAGTTGAAATAACTTAGCTTATTTTAATTGATTAAAAAGTAATTTTTAAGGTAATTTTCTGATTTTATGGTTTTTACTTAAATATCAATACAAACATAACCCAATTCTATATAGCAATACAAACATTTCTGTTATTTTTATGATCTAATAATTATTTGTATATAGATATATTTTAGTAGGTTAGAGAGGCTTAATATTATATTATGATCTTAAATTGCTATTTATAAAAAAACAATTATATTTTGTTAAGTTATTAATATTGAGATAGATATGGGTATAGCTTAAATATATAATAATCATATAAAGTAAAATAGGTATACACATTGTAATTATGAATAAAGGTCATTACAATTTTTTATTATAATTTGGGAAATTAGAAAGAATGCAGTCACTCTTTATGTGATCCACATATAAATTTAAAAAAGTAGAATAACTTTTTTTAAACTGAGTTCAGTAAATATTATTTTCCTAATTAACTTTTAACTTTTTTAGTTAAATTATTATTTGTTAACTGTCAACTTCTAACTTACCAAACTGGTGTTCTCTTAACTTAATTTTATTTTCATTAACTTGCCCGCATTTGCCTACCAACGCATTTCACACCGTTCTACGGTACGTCGGTATCGAGGAACACGTTAATAATAGCTAGTTATAATGCATGAAAACATTTTATTTTTATTATTATAATGTAATATGACATTTTTTTTTTTTTTTGGCAAAAATTAATTGAACTTCCTTATTATAGTAGCTAATACAGATTGAAAAAAAAAAAAAATAATAAAATATTTTTATATCCTTAGAAATACAAGCTGGCATTTTCCCTCAGAATTATTTTCCGTACCTATACAATGACTTGTCGTTGAATTAAAATTAAGTACATCCATTTCAGTGACCTCCACCCAATGATGCACACTCCGAACCTACAATTGAGTATAGTAACTTCTTTGGGGTTTTTTTTTTATTCAAAATTTTACTCACTGTACAATAATGTTGATAATCACACAGTTGATTTATGATTTTAGATTCTGAGCGGAGTGATGAATGTATTGGTTTTACAATGATGTATGTTTTTATATTTTTTTTTATATTTTTGTGTCTGTCATCACGTTTTAGGACAGTAAAAGTGCTTGGATTTTCTTCATCAGTAGCTTTTCTGATAGGAAAGTGAATCTAGTTGGTACTTTGGGGGGTCAAAAGTATAAATTTCCCAGTAGTTTTCACAAGCGCCGGGAAAAACAACATAAAAATTAAGGAAAAACGGGAATTTTTACGCAAAATTGGTTTTCCAAAAAATCGATTTTGGTTATTGGTGTAACTCTAAAACAAATGAACGTATATACATGAAATTTTCACTGGTTGTTTATAATTGCATTTTCTATACACGATAACATTTTCAAAATATTTTGATTTATTTTGAACTGTTTAGGGACATTTTCATTTTCCATTTTTTTTATTCTAAAATTAATAATTTTATTTGTTGGTTGCGAAAGCTTGAAAATTTAATAGAAGGCCTAATATGTTGTTTCAAAGGCAGATGAAAAATATTAAAAATCCTTAGTCACAATTTTTTTTTTATAAGCATTTAAAGTTCAAAAATTGACAAAATATGGAAAAATCACGAAAATTAGCAAATTATTTTGAGTTAAGAATTCGTAAAAATGTTTCTTTTTAAATCTAATATTTGAAAATGAAACACAAGATTCTTCATAATATTATCTACCTTTATCAATAAAAAAATCTCTACCGGACAGTCAAGTTAAATTTTTATGAGCGTTTGAAATTCAAATTTTTACAACATTGGATATTCACTCGATTACTCATGTAGCGATTTCTTTATTTTGTTGCAATTCAAAAACGAACAACTGTAGATACATGAAAATTTCACTGAATGTTTAAATTAGCATTTTCTATACACCATACAATTTTGAAAATATTTTGACTCTTTTTGAGCTGTTTATGGACATTTACAGCTTTCAATTTTTTTAGTTTTTTTTCTATAAATATCAATAAAGTTTTATCTGTTGGGCCAAAAAGTGTAAAAATTTAATACAAGGCTCCTGATATATTGTTACAATATCAGTTGAAAAATATTAAAAATACATAAGCACGATTTTTTTTTATAAGCATTTAAAGTTGGAATTTTGACAAAATTTATAAAAATCTCGAAAATTATCAATCGTTGGAATTAAAAAATTATAAAATGTTCAGTTTTTATAACTAAGAGTTGAAAATTTAAAACAAAGATTCTCTTAAATAATTCGTACTGTAACCAAAAAATCTAAAAAATATATAAACACACTTATTTTTTACAGACTTGGTTTATATTTAAACCAAGAATTACGATTTTAGTTATTTTGTTGTGATTGAATAATATTATTCGTGGGTACTTGAAACTTCTAAAGTGTACTATTATATATCTATGATAGTATCACGGTTTTTGTTGATGTATAACGCTTTATAAGTATCTAATGGATATTGTGATATGATTAGTTTGGAATTTATTATAGGTACCTATTATAGGTCAATTTTTTGTTTAATACCATAGATATGTATATAATATGTCTTATACATAGACTGACATACCATCACCGCTCAGAATCGTTTTTCTTATACAATGATATTATATCATTGAATTCAAATTTAATACCATCCATTATACAGTGACCCACTTGTAACCTACTGTACAGCAGAGCGACACCCACTTGCCCACCTTTTTTCAGATTAAAGTTGAGTAGGTACTATTCCGTGATTACTTGTAACCGAATCTACATCTAATAGTTTAAACATAATAATATATCTCTATTGCGATATGTACGTATAAAACATATTATAGATTAATGAAATCAGTAAAAAAAAAACACGAATAAATACGTGGAGTTTTGAAAAACAAAATTTTTACGATTCGAGTATAAAAGCTAATTGCACTGCTAATTTATATGTATTATTCAGCAGTTCATCAAACAATTACATACAACATGATGACTTTAAGAATTGTATTTGCTTTGGCGTTGGCCTGTTTGGCTAAGGTAAGACATATTTTTCAATTTTTACGTACCTGAATATTATCTAATAATACATTGTTTTATTATCTAGGTTGAAGCAGTTCCTTGTGGCACATGCGGCGGATTTCCATATCCTTGCCTAGACCTTTGTTTACCACCACCATGTCCACCACCATGTCTTCCTTGCTTGCCACCATGTCCACCACCGTGTCTTCCTTGCTTGCCACCATGTCCCCCACCATGCCTTCCTTGCTTGCCACCATGTCCACCACCATGCCCACCCCCATGCTTCCTTCCATGCCCACCACCATGCCCACCCCCATGCTTCCTCCCATGCCCACCACCATGCCCACCACCATGCCTTCCTTGCTTGCCACCATGTCCACCACCATGCCTTCCTTGCTTGCCACCATGTCCACCACCATGCCTTCCTTGCTTGCCACCATGTCCACCACCATGCCCACCCCCATGCTTCCTTCCATGCCCACCACCATGCCCACCCCCATGCTTCCTCCCATGCCCACCACCATGCCCACCACCATGCCTTCCTTGCTTGCCACCATGTCCACCACCATGCCTTCCTTGCTTGCCACCATGTCCACCACCATGCCTTCCTTGCTTGCCACCATGCCCACCACCATGCCTTCCTTGCTTGCCACCATGCCCACCACCATGCCTTCCTTGTGCACCATGTGCACCATGTGTTCCACCACCAGCATTGATACCAGTACCACTATGTCCTCTACCTTGTTTCTCTATTCCACCACCATGTGCACCATGTGCACCTTGTGCTCCACTGTGTCCACCTTGCGCACCATTGTGTCCACCATGCTACTGTTAATACGGATTAATTTCCGTTATCCCTGTACTGTTATATATGGCCATTTCACATAGTTCCGCTTCATCAAAACGATAAAAATGTTATATCTATCCCAAAAACCATTTTGTACCTACCAATTTATCAAAATAAATATCTCATCTCATATATTGTATTATCTTTGTTATGAAATTAATACCTCATCATAAATATTTCACATTGAATTTATATTGACTATAATATGATATTTTTTGATAGACTTGTTGATAATTGTTATGTCCAATGTCGATATAATATCTCTGGTATATATTACACTACCTATAACTAAATGTTATAAAAAAGAAATACGTTCTTCAAGATTAAAATATGTAAGTATGTTTAATAATAATGCTTAATATGAGCAAGTGAGTACCGCTCTATTTTACATCAAGCGTAATGTAGGTCGCATCAATAATGGATGTGTTAAATTTGAATTCAATTATGTATAGATATTACATTATTGTAAGTACCTATATGAAAAACGATTCTGAGCGAAAACGGCCTGTCATCCTATATTACTTTATATATTTTATGATAAACTAGCTATATTAAATTAATTTAATTTACTAAGTATATAGGTATGATATACTAGGTACTAATAATACGACTGATTAAATTAATTATTGAAAAAAACATTGCAGTTGAAAATGTCATCGTTTGCATAAAATGAAATAATATATACTTTCAAGTACCACGAATAATACTTTTAAATTACAACAAAATAACTAAAATCGTTATTCTTCGTTTATATATATCTAATTTGGTCCGAATCTAAACTTAAAAAATATCTATAAAATAAAACTGCAGGTATTATCTAGGTACTTGTGAAAAATTTTGTATTATATACAAACCTCAGAAATAAAAATTAAAACTTTTGTAAATTTTTAACCACAAAATTATTTGCAATTTTCTTGAAATAAATGAATTTATCAACTTTTAAACTCAAATTAAGTTTTATTTAAATATTTTTAAATTACTATAATGACTACTCATGAGTAACCTTATATAAAATATTCAAGCATTTTGATCCAATAAAAACATTTTTATCGACATTTATAGAAAACAACTAAAACTATTTTAATTACATAAATAACTCAATATAACATTTTGAAAGTTGTATCGTGTATAGGAAATGATAAAATAAACATTTTATGAAAATTTGAAGTATCTAAGGTTATCAGTTTTTGAGCTATGTACACTAAAAAAATGTTGTTTACTGGTTTTGTGTAAAAATCTTGGATTTTTTCATATTTAACCTCAAGCTATATTCTACCTACCTAGAATCGCTTTCCCACCAGAAAATATGGCGAAGTAAAAAATCAAAGCATATTAAATGCCACAAAAGGTGATGAAAATTGACAGATATTTAAAAATTATGAAAAGAAAAACACACATAGTTGAAAAATCAATACATTGATCGCTCCGCTCAGAATCTCATAATTGCTGATACTACTTATATAGGTGCTATGATCCAGATCAAATCCTTAAGGTTATACATTTGAACGAAGCCTGGGAATGTTAATGGTAATTTTTTATTGACTTAAGTTAATAGTTAACATTTAAAAAAGTTTAAAGTTGATAGTTATCCTAATTTTTTTTTAACCTAGTTAAGTTAAAAATTATATTGAACCTTACAATTAACTTATTAACTTAAGTTAAGTTATTTTTTTACATATATATAACCAATAATATTATATGGTTTAAAATAATAAAAAGTATAAATGTTCATGCAATATGCATACAGTATACCTAATCAATTATAATTTTATTATAAGTACCTACTTATCATTTAATTATGTATAAGTCAACGAAACTTCGATTTGATTAAATTAACTCGTTATTTATTAAGTTTATATCAATAAAATTCTAAAACTAAGCTAAATATTAAGTCAATGAAAATTTAACTTTAACTTTTTAACTCGTTTATGCCCGGGCTTGGCTTTGAACAGAACTGATAATAAATGTATTAAAATGCCATAAATCTACGTATTTAAATATTTAAATTAATGTCCGACTATATGTGCGGTGCGTGTTGTGAACGATAGATGTCTTCTGACGAATCGTTCAAAACGTTTTTGTGTTCCTGCACGAAAGTGCTATGCAATTAAATCATACCTAAATAAACGATCGCATTAAACAGACGAAAATAATAAAACTGATGAATTATTCATCTCCGATCAAACTAAACCCGGACAAACACACATTTTGGTGTGAGTAGACGAACACCAAAATATCATGGTGCACTGTGTTACATAATACTACAACTACACATAGTATTATTTAACTAAAACAGTTCGGTATTCGGTTGTATGTATTGTATAAATAAAGCAGTACAATATTATGACAATATAATAATTATGCAAATAGGAAGACTACTGGCGTTTTTTTTTTTTTTTTTTTATCGATTCTCAGTATACGAATCTGCCTTTCGGAATAGTTTTGGTAGCGCGCCGGTCGGCGGTGGCGATGCGGTCGGTGGTGATGACGGGACGGCGGCCGACATCGGGACGAATAGGGCCATCAGCTTTTTTTTGGACGATCCCTTGTCGGTCGGCGGACATGTGACCGACTGGGGGGAGGATGCGGTTGTCGGAGCTGTCGTCGTCGTGGTCGTCGTGGTCGTCGTAGTTGTGTCGTCTTCGATTTTCTGAGGCCCCGGCGGAACGATCCCGACAGCCCGGAAGAGAGGACGCAGAACGGCCAGTAAATGATGCAGGGCTGTCGAACCTTCCCGAAACTCGTTGGACGACACGATGGTCCTCAGGAGGTCGGCTAACGCTGTGGCGTAAGCTTTCGTCTGCTGTGTCGGGAACTTAACCGCGACACCTGTTGAGTGGCTGGTCGGCCTGGTCGATCTGGGCGCCGAGAACCGTGCAGGAGTCGCTGCAGTTAGTGGTGCCCGGTGGATGTCTGCAGAGCACTGCTGTGATAACGAATGGATTATTAGTTATAGGTTAAACAATTAAAATAAAGCTAAACAAAATCGTTTATGGTCGACGGATTTAATTTTTGACTGCCGAGTTTCTTATACAGCTAAATAATTTTTGTATGCACCTTGTTTTAATTTACCTAAATACCTATTTGATCCTTTGATATTGAAAAATGCAATAAATTAATATTTATTATCATATTTTATCGATCTGAACTTTATCCACTTGAAATCAAGTCAATGAGGGGTTTTGCTCAACATTGCTCACATGTGCCCACCAAAAGTGAGACATCGAAATGTATATGACTATTCGACGGTTAGCCTCGCCGATAATTGTTTCGTGATTCCGACCTCATCAGAAAATATATAATATTATTATTGTTAGTTTTTAATGTTACAGTAAATTGCGAACTATTATACAAGTTGTTAGTTCTCTCTTTGGTTTGTTTCATTATTTTAATGTTGAAGCGACTTAAGAGTATTTTTTAATTTAATTATTTCACATACTTATAACTAGGTAGATAAATAGAGGATAAGAATATATAAATTGAATAATAGATCAATTTACTGTAATATTTAAACTAACAACACAAAATGGATTCATCTGAGCGAAAATATGCTACGTTTATGTTTATTGTTAGACGGAGACCACACATGTGTACCTATTGTGGGCAGCTCCGTAGCCATTGTTGGGGCAAAAGGTACTGAATCCCTTCTACTAAATTTCAAATTGACTGTAAAAATATTTATTTAAATAACCAATACTGTTAACTTCTTCACTCACCTGCGCTATGTCATCCATTAAATAGGCATATCAATTTTGTTAGTTAAAAATATTTTTTCTTACATGTCATTGTAAACATTATATAAATACAAAAAGCAAAAAACAACTCTTATCAGTATTCTGAATTGTTTAACCTAACGCGGTTTATGAAAAAAAAAATGTCACACACGCGTGGGGGGTGCCTACTAGCTGCCTCTAAAATAATTCTAACCCTCGGTATAATTAACTAGGTATACCTACTTGCTGTTTGGAAAGTAAATATTATGATACACATACCGTAAAGTGCAACTGACTCACGAGTACCAGCGTGCAGATGACTTTGAAATTGTTCATGTTTTATTATTGGTATACGGTTCACTTTTATTGTTACTTGATAATATGAAGGCACCACGTTTAGACTGCGTCTGTTACCTATGTGAATAATAATTATGTAATATTATAATCACTCGGTTTCCATAAATTATTATAATACTGTATAAAGTGTACCTGCATTCCAACCGTGCAGGTATTGCGCAATTCCGGACACAATAATATCAGCTAAAGATAAGTGAATCTGAACGCCGCCAGTGGTCGCACAAGTGGTCGCTCACTTGTCTGGGTATTTATTATATATTATATATATTATATTATGTGAAAATGGTATTTTATCCGGTGAGTGTGTATAGATAACAATAATTTAAACGTCTGCAGTCTACATCGCTGCCAATTTTCGGGGAGTTTTTCCACGTACAGGTGTACTACCTACAACTATATACTGCTTGTAGTGTTTTAACTGTGAGATAAGCAAATCACATGGGTAATAAAATATAATATCATGCGAGTTTTAAAATATGACTTATTCAAATAATTAATTAAAATTATCATAATTAATAATAATTTTAAAAAATTTATAATAATTTAGCTTAACGATAGTGCACCCATATAATATAATATTATGTCTATACACAAATTTCGCAATTATTCAACAAGGACAGTTTTTTTTTTCAATTGTTTTTAGTAAACAATTTTTTATGACACCAGAAGTGCTCGAAATGTTTCACGTCACATTTATTTACATAGGAGATCGTGTCTGAAATGTAGAATTGAACGTTTTTTGTATACGTGATGAGAAATGTTTACCCAAATAATAATTACGAAGAATAAACACAAATTAATTGTATTGTATTATACTTACAGCATGGTTTAAATCGGGAAGGGGGAGGGGTGCAAAGAGTTAACTTAAACATATTGTATACTTCAATATAGGTACGTTGGAACTCTCAAATGTATATATAACCAAAAAATTCGTCTTTATTAAAAAGGTTTATTTATTTTCTAAGATGCATATGACTACTGCTTTACCAAAGTATATATTTATATTATAGTTATGTTCGATCAAAAGAGTTAAGTTTGATTCAGAATATTACTTGCGACAAGAGCAGTGGTATTTCGGTTTCTTTATCGTTGCCTAAGCAGTAAGCACCTTGACCGTGTTTAAACTATCAATAACAATTATTGATAAACAACGTTGTCTATAGACAACTATAATCATTAATCGTTAACAAATAAACATTTCAAAAATTGCTTTATTTTTTATTCATATACTTTTTTTTTTAAATAATTTGTACGTAGGTACATAGTGGTCATTGTGTACTGACGTCAGAGTCCTCTGTAATTATTTGCTACTTTGAGCTCATATTATCAGAGACTAAATTGAATGTAATTGTGACGAATTAAAACTAATCTGTTCATGTGATGAATTAAAACTAAATGTCGTCTATTTAAAATATCGGTGATAAATGTTAAGTACCTACACATCCTTGTACCAAACTTATTTTGTGAACCAGAATAAATATTCGAACAGATTTTTTTGCATGCATATTATTGTACATGGCCGAAGCAGGTAGTTGTCGATAGTTTAACCCTTTGACTAACTCCATTGAAACATATGACTATACCTGCAGGCTGAACTGCAGTAAATTTACTTTGTCGGGAAATACTTTTTTTGATTTTGGCTGTAAATAATACTACGGCTGCAGTACTTAGTCAAAGGGCCAAAATATAATATTAAAACGATTAAATATTACTCTCGAAAATTAAAACTTGAGAACTTTTTTTAATTGATCGTCTTGAAGAAAAAAGTTTTTTTAAATTCTCTTCAAATTCCGATCATTATATATTAATTATTGATATGAACTTATCAACAAATATTATGAGCCGTACGGTAAAATTGTTCAATCGACTATTTAAGGTGTCTGACCCATTTTCCGTGCATTGGTACTGCACTTCGGTACTGGTGCTCTCGGCGATATCGATATGTCATTTAACATAAATATTACGACTTCACATAATATATTTAAGTCATGACTTATTGTCTCGTGTCAGGTGTGTGTGTGTCATTTACTTTCCCCAGTTCCGTAGAATTATTTCAAACAACATAGGTATTTCACATCGCCGGACGATATGCCTTGGCACGTGACAATCAAATAGTTCAAAAGATAGTCCGAGAATAGGACAGAAGATAAGACTTAAGGTATTTAATAGTTATACCTAAACTCGACGTTTAATGAAATAATTCAACATAGTTTTTTTTAATTAATTTTTTTTTTTTTTTATTGTAACAAAACCACTGATTAGCATGGACACATATTAATAAATGGTATTTATTCGTTTTATAATGTTATACCTACCTACTTAAATATATATATATATATAATATATACGTATATATAATATTATTATCACAACGGTCTAAATTATAAGTACATAATATAAACGGTGTAAAATAAATAAATAAATAGCAATAATAATTAATTTGTAAATAAATTATAGGTACAACAATGTAATTATACAGTACAAAAAGTTAATAAATACAATAAAAATGGAGATGTTTTGTTTTCGGGAAAATATAACCGGGCTATTTTATATCGTACAGTTTATTAACAAGGAACTTTGGAGAAGATGGGTAGACATTTTATGGGGCTAGACTGCGCGGGCACCGACGGAAATTGAAGAGTGGGTTTTGGTAAGCTAAGTTTTTGTAAGTTGAGTTTTGGCAAGTTAATTTTTGGCAAGGAAAGTTTTTGAGGAGATGTGAATAGACGTTGATGAACAAAATCGAGGATCTGGTTTATTGATCCTGGTTTATAATAGAGTTTGGTCGCCTGTGCGGATGGTATTTCTGGCTTGCCTAGCTGCGGGGCGGGTACAAGGATAAACACCTGGGATGGATGGGGCTTAATAGGTATTATCGGTTTTGTGGATACTGCACTGCCCAATTCAGGTAAATGCAGTTGTGGTAACTTTAAGTTGCCACTCGCAAAAAGTTTAAGTATGGCTTCTATTTTCGCTTCTAACAGGCTATTACCTGATCCTTTATTAAACAGCGATGACAGGATGGACAGCGGTGACAGTGACGGAGTCGGCATCGGCGGTAACTCTGGTAGTGATGGCAGTGATCCAATGGCTGGCACTTCTATACACGGTACCGATGGTTCGACTGGTGCTAAAGGTCCGGCTGGCGTTAAGGGCGCTGTTGGCGCTAAAGGCGCTGTTGGCGCTAAAGGCGGTGTTGGCGCTAAAGGCGGTGTTGGCGCTAAAGGCGGTGTTGGTGCTAAAGGTGGTGTTGGCGCTAAAGGCGGTGTTGGCGCTAAAGGCACCGCTGGTGGCGGTATTCCATCGGTCGTGGGTAAATCTGCCGGTAAGACGGGGGCCGCTGGTGGAGGTGAAATCGGTGATATCGATGCTGTAACGTCTTTGGTGATGGACACACCAGGCAAGTTTGGTGTTGGTCCCGACGACGGGGCAGCCGGCGAAATAGAAGCGACAACGTCTTTCGTGACCGAGATACCTGGCAAGTTAGGTGCTGGACCCGACGACGGAACAGCCGGCGATATAGAAGCTGTGACGTCTTTCGTGACCGAGATACCTGGCACGTTTGGTACTGGTCCCGGAGATGGGGCGGACGGCGTTAGGACGGCGGTAGCTTCAGCACTTACCGATGTGCCTGGCAAAGTAGTCGGGATGAGTTCGGGTCTTGGCGATTCGGCCGGTCCCGTGGCAGTGGCATCGGACGTTCCAATGGACAGTGAGTTGCTGATCGATACAAACACCGATGGAGGTATGGCATTTGCGAGTGTCGGGACGGTCGTCAACGAGGTCATGAATCCCGTTAACATGTTGTGTGGTATGGCGTTAAGTATCGCCGGGTTGCACGACAGTTGTGTGAGAAATTCGACTATTAAAAATGGCGGGACGATGCATAGTAACTTCGGATGTGACTGTAGAATAGTCATAAAAGCTATTGTTTTTTGTATTGCTAGTGAAGTTTTTAAGTCGGTCTGACCGAATGTTGATAGAGAGGATATTTGCTGGAATCCTAACGGCGATGACAACGATGGGTCCATGTGTCTAGGTTTAAAATGTGCTTCTGTGTGCTGTGAAAAAAATTTACAAAAAAATAAATAGTTAGTGACGAACATAAGCGATCAATTACAATGGTAATACGATGTACGTATACAGCCGACTTAATAAAGTATAAAAAAAATTAACCGATTTTTATTGATAAATAAACAAATAAATAACGTACCAGTATTTTCAGAAGTGTCACTACCACGCAGACAAGTAACACCGACGATTGTTTCATTTTTATGTTCGAATATTTATTTAATTTTAAATTTTTTTTTTTTTATATAATTATTAAAATGATAGACCGTGTCAGAATGCGTCGATTTTTTTATTTCTCTCCCTTTTATAGTATTTGCCACGTTCTTCCAAACTACTTGGCTTTGACGTAAGATAGTCTATAATCGGTCACAATTATTATCTCAATTATGCAATTAATTTTTTTTTTTCATTAGAACGACCTGACATTATGAACTAGGAACAAAATATTTTATCACATTATATTGTATGGTTTATAATTAACACGTGCATTTAAGAGCAATGCCGAGATACTAACATTTTTTTTGTTGGTTTTATTTCGGTGCAATTGAGTGAATAATTTTGAATATCAAACGTTTGATATATATTTATTTAATATCAAACGTTAATGACCGTTGTTAAATTTCTCAGACTTTTTTTAGGTAGGCATAAACCGTATTTTAACGTAATTGGCAACACGACGATAAACCAACGTCAATATGCGTTTAATAATACGGTTTTATATTGATTTACGGAAAAATCTAAGTTTCTTATTTGTCCATGAAATATTAAAAACATACACTACAATATTTTAAACGTGCCCTCAACCGCATCCGATTTAAGATTGGTGGATGGATTGGAATTATTTAATATTATATTCAAAATAATGCATTTTGGGATTTATTTCGATTTATTTATGTTTTAATTGAGGTAAACCAAAGAATATATTTTTAAACTAAAACAATTTTGGTACTCTTATATAATATTAGGTAATATTTTTGTATTTTAAAAATAGTGTTATTGACTTGGAGATATACATATGAGATCTCTGAGTTCATATGGTTATACTAAGTTATTTTTTTAACAGAAATAATTGTAATGTTTACTTGAGGTATACAATATACATTGTAAAAATATCTTTACAACGCTGTTTTAAAATATTATTGTCTTTATTTATTTATTAAAAAAAAAACATAAAGAGAAAACACAATTTATTATTAACAAAGTAAAAATTGACTTTGAGAGATTGCCTGGTGTTGCCTTTTAAACTTCTCCAAAATCATAGACTATAATTCAACTCACTTGGTTCATCTGCATAAATAATAATGGTTGAATACAATATTTTAATGGAATACTAATTATTTACATACAATCTATCTTGAAAAGAATTTAATGTCTTTGAACAAAACAATATTTAAAAAAATTAATAGGTGTTTTAATTATTGCACGAAGTTATATTTTTTGTTTATCTTAAATTCAAATAAATCCACAGCATCATCGATACATTTTTTTTGTCGACGACAAAATCACTGATTTTATGAAATTTAAATAAGGAGCGTATTATAATAACGTGACATTATCCAACTTTTTACACAACGTTCATTTAAATATACCACAAAACATGAATTTTTCTTGTTTGTAATTAAAATTTTAAAATATACCATAATATGTGTACCAATAGGCAATATCAATTGATTCTTTGAAATTTGTAAAAGGACCCTACAAAAAACCTTAGAGTGCATATAAATCCTAGTCTATAAGTTTTTATGAGGAGAGTGGTAGACCAAAATTTTGCAGGGTACCTAGATTAGGAGTAACATTCTGATTGTATAAACTTAAAAGTTTGAATATTTATTATGACTCATAAGTTTGAGTTATAAGTTTTAACTAGGTAATTAATCTATTGTTCAAAATTGGAATTTTCATAGTATGAAATGAAAAATGCACGTTACATCAAGTTACACAGTTCCAACAAATATTTATTACGGTTCATTCTTTTGAAGATGATATTTGTTATTTACTGTTAAAATAATCACCCTGTATATAGTTCTTGTTCGTCGTTAAAGTCGGTGAGATTACATTTAAGACATAAAATATTGTATTTATTTTATTGTTACCAAAACGAAATAAATTGGATATGTAGGTGGGTATTTCATATAAATGTCTAAACAATAGGTACAACCAGTCATCGTGACACCTATGTATTTAATATCTATTAATACACTAAATCATACAATTTTATTTGGGTTGTATACTTATTTTTTGCTAAATAATAATAATAATAATAATAATAATGAATACCAGAATACTTACTAATAACTAATTAATAACGGTATATTAATATACTTTGCATAAAATGCAAGAAAAATAATTAGTAAATTGTTCATTGATACATTTTAGAGTAGTTAACTATACAGATATAACAGGTAATGAGCGCCGTATAACTCACAATAATATTTGATATTCTATCAGTATGCTTCATCATATTGATTAGGTTTTTAATGAATTAACAATAATAATGTTGTAAATTAAAATATCAGCAGCTATAATACGATTTACGTACATCGTGCAATACAAATTTAATATTATTATATACTGCAAATATTATTGTACCTACTTTAATTTTTGTCTGTCATATTATTTCAGTGCACATTTTTTTTTGTGTTTGAGAAGAATGACACGATTTCTTTTATATACATTGATAAACCGGGTATGATAAGATCCATCGCCAGCCTTGTTTCGCTTTCAATGACTTATAACTTATGAGTAATATAAGAAACCGATGACATATTATTGTGGTTATTGGTTTGTAGTATTATTCCGAATTAAACTTTTGTGTTATATTTTAATAAGTAGGAAGTAAAATATTATGATATGCTTTAACCTCACACGACGATTTTAATTCAATTTTTCGGTCGGTTATTTTATTTCTATGTATTCACAATATTTTCAGGTTTTTCTATTCTCAATAATTTTCTTCTGTACACATTTCTGCCCGCAACTACATTGGATTGTATAGCTTTTGACATTTTTACGCTTATTTGTTATTAATTTATGTATTGCATAACCAAAAAAATATAAATATTCGAATATGTCTATAAGCACATAAATTACATTTTTTTGAACATTTGAAACAACAAGTTTTGAATGAATATGATTATAGGTAGATAATATGTTATACAATAAATCGTCTGACGGTCTTGGACGAAAAAATAGGCAACTGTTTAATAATATTATTCAAATATTGTAAATCGTCCAAAATAAAAATGAAATATTTCTCAGCAGCAAAGCATTATAATATTATAGTAATAATTTAAACACAATATGTAAAAAGGTAATCAGTTAATGGTTATATTATAAATACAAAGTATTGTATTATGTCGCATAATCGCATCATTACACTCAACTCGACACAATATATGCTTACAACGTTTTATAAGAACATAATTTATAGTTATAGTACCTACCTACCTATCCAATTATACCAAGTTGGTTAGACTATTTTTCATTGAAATATCATTTCAATGAGCAGTCATGTTACTATAGGTAAGTCGACTATATTATCATTTATCATAATATCATAATATTGGTTACAAGTCACAAGACTGTAGAATATGTGTTTATCGGCGATATGATAATATTATAATATAAATGTACAACTGAATTTATCGCACAACTATACTGACTATTCAATAATATAATCATATAGAACAGAGATAACCGTTGAAATGTTAACGGTAACATAGTACTGAAATTAATCTTCTTTCCACGTCTATGTAAGATTAAATATTTGAAAAATTCTCTGATATAGTCTAAAGCACAAAATCCAGAAATGTCGACGACTAGCTATTAGATACTTGCTAGGCTCTTCGCTTCCCAATTGATATATCAATTTTCCACTGAATTTAACATCATTATTTGATTAGACGGATAAATGTCAATATTATAGTTTAAAAAAACACTTCCTATGTACATTATCGACGAAATGGTTTTTTTTTAATTGTGTGCACCTAATGCTGCAGCTATGGTTTCTTATAATGTGAACGCGTATTTGTAATGTGCATCGTTTTTAATTAATTGTCGGTGATGAGCTGTAACTATTGTAAAATAGTACCCCTATAGTAAAACATACCTGAAAAAAAATTTTAAAAATATATCTTTTCTGATTATTACTATAGGTACCTGGTACCTATGTATAAGGACTTAGCACCATTGGTACCAAACTAAAAGATATACAGTAGACGCCGCTTATAAGACTCACGGATATAAGGTTCAGTCGCTTATTAGACTCAAAATCGTCTGGAACGGTCCGGACGTATCCAAATACATTAAAAAAAAATCGGTTATAAGACTCAACACTTCGGTTATAAGACTCAAATTTCGTAAAATAAATAGTATAAAATAAACTTTTTTGGTTATAATTTAGAAATAAATTGGTATTGAAAAATTAAATAATATTCGTGTTGATTATTTCTAGTTTCTGGTGGTACTTTATAACGTATAATAAAAATAAATAATAAAATAATAAAAATAAATAATAAATACATTATAACATAATGTACATACATCCTTTATAATTTTTTATTAATGTATAATTTTTATAATATTTTTATATGTAATATTTACCAATTATAATTTTAGTTTTTTTTTATCAGGATTATTAAATTTATTCAATAATAAAGTATGTAATATGTAATATTATATGCGTTAAAGTATTAAAATCAAAGCAAAATATGTAGTAAAATAAAATGTATAAATACGTAATTAATTTTTTTTTTCCACTTCGCCTATAAGATTCATTCGGTTATAAGACTCACTTTGTGCTGGTCCCAAAGTGAGTCTTATAAGCAGCGTCTACTGTATAAACAGCGTAATAGAAAAAAACTGACAAACGTAATAACTTCTGAACATTATTTTTACAATGTTTTTTTTAGCATAATTGTGAAAAATACAATAATATTATATTAAAATCTAATCATACTATATTATATTATAAAGGAATTAACATTCAATATTTTGAATAGTGTTGAGGAGTTAAAAATTAGAAGGTACAGACGAACAGAAACAATTGGTCACAAACGGTCACTTTGTATGGTCCATTGTTTAAAATGCATAATTAATGTATTGTATACATAAAGTATATATGTACCTATATTTAATGTAAACAAGTATGAAGTCGTGACAAGACCATGTTATTAAGTTTAAATATTATTAGGTAAATCTAAGTATTTAATACATTCGAAATAGAAGGAAATCGTGGGGCGTTAGTGCGTTAAATATCGTTGGTAATTTTTATTTGTCATTTTGACATATTGATATTGTGCACGTTTTTAATTTACTTTTTAACATAACTTTTGATAATTTTACAATACCACTATAATTAGTTATCATATTTGATTATTTTGACAATTTAAAGATTTTTAGGTCTCAAAGTTCCTAAATAAATTTATAAATATATTATAACACTAAGTACTATTTGGCTGTTATCTAACCTGTTAATTAAAAAAACTTTCATTATTTTGACTATTGTTAATAATGGGTATACTATATTTTTAAATATTTTTAATTGGCTTTTTATTTAATTTTTACATTTTAATAATTTACATTTTACATTATATATTTACTACTTAGGTATACATAACTTATATTTACAATATTATAATATGCTTTATGTATATAATAGTACAAAATGTCCGCGTTTCACACTTTTAATTCTCGACTGTACAAAGTGACTTAGAACCACACAATTACATAAAATATTATGAACATTGCGCCTACCAATATTATAACTTGAGAACAGAAATAAAAAATGCTGTGGCAGCTGTATAGACTATACCTATACGTTATTTTATAACTTTATAAGCTTAAAATTTAATTTGCTTTTAGATATATCATATATTCATATATCATATTTGCAAATTAGTAATTATCACTAATTTGCACCATCACAGGTAGGTAGTAAAAAATAGTGTGTAATTTTCACCAATTTGAGTATCTATGTATTCGATTATTAATCGTCGACTATTGTCTATTTGAATGACAATAATATTAAGACTTTATTCACCAAAAGACATACTTATAAATGTATTATAGATATAATAATATAATAGTTAGGTGCACCCATCTATGTAAGCTCAGCCTGTGTTGGGAGTGTTAAGTTCTAAACAGAATCGTGATTTATATAATTTAGTATCTAATGCTTTTTCTACCCATTATTTAAACAAAAACTAAGCTGAAGTAATTATGTTTATGATTATAGACACTCTTTATCAAATTGTAAATTTTATACAAATAATTTAATGTAATTTTATTATTATAATATAATTATTGTCATAAATAGCTTTTAAAATATCTGTCAAAATAAACTTTGACAATTTTATTATCTTGTGATTAAAATATTCAATTTTATAACTAAGGTTTTTACGTCAAAAATAATAACCACCATATTACTTGTTTTCATTCTAAACTTTTTAAAATTTGATAAAATACTGAGGCACATTTTCAATACGGCAGATCTGCATTATGGTTAATTCGGTACATTATTATCGAATTAACGAGTTAGTCATTTTTTTATTTTATATCTCTACCTGTCAATTGAATTAACAAGTGATTTGTAAATAAGCAATTTTTATTAACAATATACAATAACAATAGGTAACAATATAAAATTGTATGATAACAATATACAATTTTATGATACCAATATACAATTTTATCATAACAATATGTCAATATACAATATACATGGAACATAACGAATGCAGTTAATAACAAAATATTTAACGCATCTTTTAAATAATAATTATAACATGTCATAATCTTGATAAATAGTACAATAAATAAAAAACAAAGGAATTATATATTATATATTATATTATTAATTAATACACAGGATATACAAGGATAAACGGACATTTTCCTTCAGTTTTAAACTTTACAAATATCTCGTCGTCTCGAAGAGGCAGGCTAGCTCATAGCTATTCCGTATCCTCAGACGGTACTGTGCTGCACCAGCAACATAAGATTCTACCGACTTTAAGGAGTCTTCTCCCTAAAGCCGATAGGATCCGTCTACGTCGTCGAACGGCTGTTGATGCTTCTGGTCGGTCATAATTTTCATCTTCCAGAATATCGTCATCGGTTTGCCGAGGACATATCAGTGTAGGCAGGACTGCAGGTCGGATTTCCACCGTTACACTATCTGCAGTCTGAACACGATCCGTGGACTGCAGCTGTTGTGAATCCAGTACGATATCTGCAGAGTTCAACTGTCGGAAACCTGGAGATCTACCATCTGTTATCTCAACGTTTCCAAAAGCAGGCCTTTGTCCGCTTAAATCGATAGTGAAACGTCGAGGAAAACGCATAGGTATGACGTAGTTCAGTGATCTGCTCACTGCCGCCTCACGTAGGGCTTTTGACAGTGCTTCTGACAACTCAAGTGTTGCAGCAAACTTCGCCCTATGATAACGTCTCTTTGATATTTGCAGCTGCATAACTGGTTGGATTTCCACCGTTACACTATCTGCAGTCTGAACACGGTCCGTGGACTGCAGCTGTTGTGAATCCATTACGATATCTGCAGAGTTCGACTGTCGGAAACCTGGAGCTCTACCATCTGTTATCTCAACGTTTCCAAAAGCAGGCCTTTGTCCGCTTAAATCGATAGTGAAACGTCGAGGAAAACGCATAGGTATGACGTAGTTCAGTGATCTGCTCACTGCTGCCTCACGTAGGGCTTTTGACAGTGCTTCTGACAACTCAAGTGTTGCAGCAAACCTCGCCCTATGATAACGTCTCTTTGATATTTGCAGCTGCATAACTGGTTGGATTTCCACCGTTACACTATCTGCAGTCTGAACACGGTCCGTGGACTGCAGCTGTTGTGAATCCATTACGATATCTGCAGAGTTCGACTGTCGGAAACCTGGAGATCTACCATCTGTTATCTCAACGTTTCCAAAAGCCGGCCTTTGTCCGCTTAAATCGATAGTAAAACGTCGAGGAAAACGCATAGGTATGACGTAGTTCAGTGATCTGCTCACTGCTGCCTCACGTAGGGCTTTTGACAGTGCTTCTGACAACTCAAGTGTTGCAGCAAACTTCACTCTATGATAACGTCTCTTTGATATTTGCAGCTGCAGAACTGGTTGGATTTCCACCGTTACACTATCTGCAGTCTGAACACGGTCCGTGGACTGCAGCTGTTGTGAATCCATTACGATATCTGCAGAGTTCGACTGTCGGAAACCTGGAGATCTACCATCTGTTATCTCAACGTTTCCAAAAGCCGGCCTTTGTCCGCTTAAATCGATAGTGAAACGTCGAGGAAAACGCATAGGTATGACGTAGTTCAGTGATCTGCTCACTGCTGCCTCACGTAGGGCTTTTGACAGTGCTTCTGACAACTCAAGTGTTGCAGCAAACTTCACTCTATGATAACGTCTCTTTGATACTTGTAGCTGCAGAACTGGTTGGATTTCCACTGTTACACTATCTGCAGTCTGAACACAGTCCGTTGACTGCAGCTGTTGTGAATCCATTACGATATCTGCAGAGTTTGACTGTCGGAAACCTGGAGATCTACCATCTGTTATCTCAACGTTTCCAAAAGCAGGCCTTTGTCCGCTTAAATCGATAGTGAAACGTCGAGGAAAACGCATAGGTATGACGTAGTTCAGTGATCTGCTCACTGCCGCCTCACGTAGGGCTTTTGACAGTGCTTCTGACAACTCAAGTGTTGCAGCAAACTTCACTCTATGATAACGTCTCTTTGATACTTGCAGCTGCAGAACTGGTTGGATTTCCACCGTTACACTATCTGCAGTCTGCACACTGTCCACGGATAGCTTCAGCGTGGGAAGTCCCTCAGCGTCTCCAAAACTCAACTTTCCGTTTGTCTTATTACATTCCGTCAAGTTCATTTGGATTGGTACCAAGTTTGAATTTCGGCGCATAGATGCAGACTGTACAGCATTAGCCACCATTCTTAGAAACTCCAACTGGTCTGTCGTTAACTTAAGTGCGTTTAGTGATTCTTTTTGAAGACGATCCATTATTACGTGGAGAATATTCAACCTTACACAATAACACGAAAAAGTCTAATAGCGATTTATTTGAAGTTAAACTGCTTAGACGGTGATATGATAAATAACATGCGAAATTTGCATGGCAACAAACTATAATAATAAACGGCCAAAACATTAATTTCACAATGACATTTATTTATTTATTTATTTTTATCTATATATATATATATATATATAAATGTACGTTAACTCATTAATCGAGAACAGCTGGTCCGATTTGGCTCAAATTTTTTTTAAGATGTTCATAATTGCCAGAAGAAGGTTTTGACGAAAGAAAATCAACCGGAAAAATAGGAAATCTGGATGTAAAAAATACAACAGTGGCGCAACAGTGTATTGTAATAGTTAGGTTTGCATGTTTATTGATTTGTATTATTATTTTTTTTCAATATATATAATAAAAATAAATGTTTGTGTGTAAACCTCTGGGAAGAAAACAGGCTAATTTAAAAATTGTTAAATTAGTTTTTTTTTTTTTTATTCATCTGATATTAGGTTAGGATTTTGTATTAATTGATTATATTAACCAACCATAGGTGGAATATGACCAACTTGGTATAACTTTGATACTTTAGAGTTAAATCATACGCTTACGTACAGACAGCACGGGGTCCGCGATCTACAGCTGGTAGATTGCCTACTTGATAGTATACTGCTGCGAAACTCAATTTTTATTTCGGGAAACGGAAAAATTAAGATAAATTTTAAACACCATACACCGAATACTATAGAGTTGGTACATTTAACGGGCAACGAAGGGATCAGCTATAGTTTTATATAAAGACTAATTTTATTTTCAACATAATATACCTCTAATAATAAAAAATAAATGAAAACAAACCTTTATTATTTATAGATAGGTATAATAATAATTATATTTAAATTTAAATACCGAAATGTTTAGTTCCAGCATGGAACCTTATTCTATTAAATTTTTAATTCTTAGGTGCCTACATGCAGTGTTGTAAAGTATTTGCGTAAAAGTACTCAAATACTTTTTTCCGTATTGAATACTTTTTTAAATACTTTTTATTTTGAAGTACTTGAATGGTATTGGAAATACTTTTTTTTACTATTGAATACTATTTTATTGAATACCTATTTTTATTCTTTTAATTCTTAATTTGTTTCTACTTATAATTATTCTTGTTAAATAAAAACACACACAGACAATTTGATATAGGTTTTAGTCGATTAAATGTTTTTTTTTCTCCATGAGACAGTTTATTGTGGACATCGGTATCGCTATAATTAGCTTAAGTCAATAACAAAATATATAATATGTAAAAAGCTTCTGCTTATCGTCTATTATAATTCATAGTTTATACTTTATAATTATTTAACTATACAAAAATATTATTACTAGGTAATTATTAGTACCTACTACCTATTTAAAAAGACAATTTTTATTAATAATTATCATCTACGTTTATCGTCGATGGTGGTATGATATATTCAAATACATATTATAGTTTGAAATTAATATATAACTTTGTAGAGAAAAGTTCATTGTTGTGGTGCAACTAACATGACTGATCAGAATTTTGATGATTGAACAAATCATGTTTTAAAAATGCAATAAACAAATGTTTGATTATTACAAATTATTTCAACACTAAAAATTAAAAAGAATTTTTTTTTGTATTTGAAGATTATTTCAAATACTTCTGAAAAGTATTTGAGTATTAACTAAAATACTTTACTATTTAATATTTATAGTATTTGGGTGGTATTTTAAATACTTTATTTTAAGAGTATTTGAGTATTGAGTAATTACTTAAATACTTTTAAAAAGTATTTTTTACAACACTGCCTACATGAATATTAAAAATTGTACGGGTTCTTAACTACATAACAATTTGCAAATTTCGGACTTAAACTGCTTATAAAAAAAATATTGTGACTATGTATGTTTGTTAAATTATATAAATTAGTATATGAACAACACATGAAGAACCTTGTATTACATTTTCAAGGACTTTGACCTTGCATCACATTGTTAATCGACATTTATAGCAAAAAAAAAACTAAAAAAATGTCAAATGTTGCTCAAAATGCGTCAAATATATTAGAACATTTTTATTTTTATTTATTTTAGCTAGGTAAATTAGTTATTAGCTATTATTATTGCTATGTACTCTATCAAATTAAAATTTAAAAATTTAAATAATATTCTTTAAAATTGAAATATCAAAAAATAATCTTTTGAGATGCACTATATAATATTCCTACCACTAAATTTTATAATAGATAGTTCATTTTAATATCAAAAATAACTGAGTAAACCGGATTCTGCTTGACACACAAAATAAATGGTCATGTTATGTGTTAGTGCGTTACCTAGTAAGATATAGAGATATGCGGGTGAAACATCCTATATTCCATTCCTCTTAAAAAATGTCCTCTAGAAAAAATTTTTAGTTTTCAATCTTCATAATTGACAATATTAGAATTATTTACATTGCACTAGCTCAATAGATAATTAATTTTTTGGGGCGTAGGTATAGATTTCAAAACCACACCTTTCCTTATTAAATAATATTAGAAGTAACTAACTTTAATCTGTTAAGAATAATTTTAAATAAACCTAGACTTTATTCAATCAATTTATTCTATTCTGAACTGTATGTTGAAGATTTAAATTCTATTTTACATGACTACTTAAGTGCTCTATTTACTTTAAAGACATTATGTCTGATCATAAGTATAAAACTAAGAGTAAGGAAAAATCTAATATAAAATAAAAATATAATAATTATAATAAATATATTCGTACAAATTGTACACACCATATTTCTTCTAATTATAATATTAATATAATATGTGACGAATTGCAACCATTTAGATTGACAAAAAAAAAAAAAAATTCTTTCTTAAACCTCGAAATTCCTTTTTCAGCACCTCCCAGGGGCGTTTCTCTTCTATATTATGCATGTTATATACATATAAATCTTCCTCTTGAACCCCTCTCTCAATTTAAAAAAAATCGCATCAAAATCCGTTGCGTAGTTTTAAAGATCCAAGCATACAGAGCGAAAAGGGACTTAGTTTTATAATATTATATTGTTAAGAAGATGATTATATGTTTGAAAGAAACCTAAAATCGCACTTTGAATAATAATTGTGCAGTTGAAAATTATAAAGTATTCGAACGAACATGCACAAAAATTGTTACATAAAATATGAATATTGCACACTAATTGCACCTACCAATTAATATTACACTTAAACGTATAGCTATACACGCTATAATAATATCTATAGTAATCAATTTCTAATAATTATACAACACAATATTTTATAGAACTTTTATATATAGACTTAACACAATATTATATCATATTATTCCCTATCACAATCCGATCGCTCTTCGGATTCGACTAAAACACGATGTTTTGAATATTTTAAATATTCATAGGTAGGTAGGTATAACATATATTATTCATAAATAATATTATGTGTGTAAAAGTAAAACCGACGAAAATATACGCACGTAACATATTATACGTGTCGTCATTCGGCGCTGTGAGTTGTAATTATTAATTTATAATCCGATTCGGTCGTTATTATCATGCCGAGTAAATTGTTAACCTTAAAACGTAGGCAGGCCGTACCTCCTAAGTCGTGTATCAAGTTCGGTTTGAAATGCAGTACCACATTACTATCGATAAACAACATAACATCACACGACGGATTAATAGCAATAATAATATGATAAATAATGTACCCGATCGTTAACACGATATAATAATGATATACGTCGAACAAAAATACCGTACAACACACAAACGACTGCAAATTTTTCAATTTTTTTTTTTTTTTTGACTTTGAAATCTGAACGGCTATAATAACAGTGTGGAATTACACTATGTCTTATCCGACGGACATAATATTATTTTGAAACGAAATGTAGGTTACGCGTAGTAGTTATATCCACAAGAATCGCGTTTAACACCCATTAAAATGGTTAGATTGCTGCCGGGCCGGCCTTCGGTTACGGCGTTTTCAGCTGCGATATTGTACCAGACGTCCTTAGATTCGTCTCTAACGTTTGCAAACTACCGTCGTCGTAGAAACCCTAAAATTAAATAACATAACATTAAATTATGGCAGGTACGGCGGTAACACACAGAAACAGACTCCGGCGAGGCTGATTTGACTTCAATTTGAACTTCAATAAACAATTAATAAAATAATGAGATTGCGGTGTAATACCTACATTTTAATTGCGAGACAATAACGTGTTATTTTACCTACACTATAATAGGTCTATGACGTGTGTTGTGTAGAAAGTATTTAATATCGTTTCAATACAATAGTTCTTCAGTCGCTATCACAATGGTTTCTTAGATTAAATTGCACATTTTTTCTAAAACCGAGTCGAACATTTTTGTGTTATTAATGGAGTACCTACAATAATTTAACAATCACTATATAATCACTTATATTATAGTCACATGTTATATACCAATTATGTTTCCATATAATATAATTATAATAACATTATAGTGTTATATATACCTACTTTTGACTTTCAGTCCTCAATACGTATAGGTAGGTACCCAACCGTCGTTGAAGCGTCTTTAATACTTAGAGTCATTATTACGTCAGCATTCACGTCTAACAGGTTTCTGCTAGTGCCATATAACATATCATCTATCACTACTACGAATGGAGGACCGCAAACTCGGACCCAATGAGGACGATGAGTTTCCGTCGTCCCGGGAAATTGATTTTCCGAGCATTGCTGACTTATTCACGGGGCCAATACTAACCCATACCCAGGGTCAGTGGTTAAGGCCCAGGAGTGCGGGGAGGTTAGTGGTTATATCTCCCTCCCCCACTGTCCTATAAATCGCCTTATTTATGTCTTTGATATTACCACCACAATTAATATAAATGTATTATGAGTTGTAACACCCCCCCCCCCCCACCAAATTGAAACTGCCCAGGATTGCCTCCAAACT